GATTATCTTCTTCTACCACTAGTGCATAAGCTTCAATGACTGCTGGAAGCGGATTCATGGCAAGAATCCGACTACGAACGGAATCAAAGTTGGGATCGAGTCCTCCCAAAAAATCGTACACACGTTCCACCTCAAGTGCTTGTTGGTGAAGAGCCACATCATCGGGATTGGTATGTTTGCAGGGACGGAGGCTGTCAATTTCCTGCCATATTATGTGTAATTTTTCGTAGAATACATTCACAGGTTCACCACTTTGAGAGGTGGTGACTGACTGACGACGGAGTTGGTACAACTTGGAGCTATTCTGTGTGACAGTATATGTCTTCCGAGTTGCGTCCCACACCGCATAAGCCGTTGAGCAGTGATCAAATAAGGCACGTACATTTTTGGTCATGGAGTTGAGGAGCCATGACTGCACCAAACAGTTGTCTTCATCCCAAGCTTCATAGCTAGGATCATCAATGGCAGGGGCAATCTTTTTACCATTAATGAAACCAGCCATACGACGAGCAGTGATGGCCAAGCGAACACTACGAGACCATGCAGGATAGTTGGACCCATCCAACTTATCAGGAGTAATTGGAGAGTAGTCATGAGAGGACCGGGGTGGTGGTGGTGTTGTGGAGTCGATCTTGGTGGAGTCGATTTTAGAGGAGTCGTCCGTGGAGTCGTTGATGGAGTCGTTGGTGTCACCCATGAGGTAAGTATATAAAAGGATGTAGAGGAAGAAATAGCTTAAAACTTCAGCAAACAAGAGCACAAAAATGGCTTGTGATCAAGACCAATTTTGAGGCAAGGCAAAGTATGAGGTAGGAATAATATAACAGCAAATTATGGGCAAGGATAGGTAGAGATTTAGGCAAGAACAAGGTTATGCAGAGGCAACCAAAATCGATTGCTCTGATACCATGCCAAATATAGTGTAATTGAGAAAGTTGAGAATGTATAACAAGAAGAACAAGATAGGTTTTGCAGAGAATTCAAATCTGCCAATTAAATTTCTTACTTGGTGAAGTGTGTTAGATATACAATTATACAAGGTGATTATTAGTTACAAACAATGCACAAGACATGGAGGGAAACATGGAGAGTTTCCATCCCTAAAACAAGGAATATGAAAACAAGGAAAAATAACAAGGTGGTAGACAAGCCATTTAGGGATGTCTATATTTTGTCTTTGTCTTTACTAACAATGTCATGTAGTGGTGGAACATGGGTTCGAGTTGTATATGGATGACTCAACATTCATTGATTTTTCTTGGTTGTCTCAACTCAAGGTCTGCTTCAATATACACGATTCACATTTTAGATAGTATCATGATGATGAGTCATAGATGCATGCTCCTAGTCCTAGCTAGTGTAAAAATCTAATCTCAACTCAAGTACGAGTAAGCATTTCTATTTGGGTTGGGTGATTTTCTTTCATTTCTCTATTGCTTTAACTGGCCTCAATTACACCAACAAAAGTAGAACAAAAACAACACTTTCTTTTTCTCCAAACCACACAAAGCCCAAGCAAATTCCAAATAATCTCCCTCACAAACTCTAAAAACAAAAATAAAGGCCAGTAAGCCTTTTACTATGATATATATCCTCATTCAAACACGTGCTGCCAACATTTAAAATTTTTTACAAAAATAAAAAAAATCACTACAGTACTTGCAGTAATTTCATGAATTAACAAAGGCATGCGACCAACTTCAATTACTTCCCAAAAATAATATTCTTCCTATAAAAATATTTTCAAAACTCTCCATTCTCTACTCTTTCAATGGAGCATACTCGAAAGAAAAACTACCGGTATAAGGGTCGCAATTAAAAACAACACAAGGATAATATTTCCTCTCGCGGCTTGGGCACTCAAAACTCATGTGTTCACGTTCCTTTTCACATATTGAACAACTCTTGAGGATTGCACGTCCTTGGCTTCCGCCACAATTGGCACAACATGAGCCTCTAAAGCGGCAACCGCAAACCTTGCAATTGACCACACAACCACTGCCAACAATGGCGTTCTTTGGGACATCGGATTTGTAAGGGCAAAGGCGTGAAATGTGATCACCCACCTTTAAACAATACAAACATTCACCTGTGTGCAATTTGTAGATCCATTATTAAATACAACAAAAGCAATACAAATAATTATTTATTATTTAAAAATATAGTGAATGAATGAAGGTGTCTAATTTTTTTTTGGTCTGTAAAATATTAAGACAACAAGGTCTAGACTAGTAAAAATTGACCTAGACTTGCAGATTACTTGATATTGTGTGTGAGAAATCCACATCTACTTGAAGTTTAGACTATGACTTGTATTAAAAAATAAAAAAATTTATGTTCAAAAACATATACCAATAGAACTCTTATCCTTTGGTTCATCAGCCTTCCTACCTGTTTGGAGCAATTACATTGTTAAATAAGAAAAATAAAAAAGATGATGAGTTAAAGAAGTCCCATTAACAAATTACTATATATATTATTAAATATCGGCTATGCATCATGCATACACCATAATAACTTGGCTAGAGAAATCATCTTTTTAACATATACGAGCTAGTTTCAACATAACATAAAACAACAAAAAATACATAGATATTATGTCATAAAATAGAGATGTAGCAAAAATATTTTATTTTTGTCTCTAAAATCAAAATCATACCAATACGATTAGGAGGGAGAAGGCTCTCTAGTATTTTTTTTTTTCCCTTTTTGTCTCTAAAATCAATAGGCCAACGGGATCTAGTATAGAGAAAAAGGGCTTAACTTTTAGACCAATAGTCTCTGGTTCGAACATATATGTGAGAAACTCACCTCTAACTTGCAGTTTAGACTATTGCTTGTATTCAATAAAAATAAAAATAAAAATGAACAAAAGCATACCAAAAATAGGATTTGGAGGAGGGGTCCAGTGCAGTTTAAAATAAGTCGAAGGTGTTTCGAGGCATTGTTTTGCAGCCTTTCGTTCTTCAGCCTTGCTATCTGTTTGCATGCAAATAAATTGTTAAATATGAAAAGAAAAAGGATAAGAAAGGGTGATGATGTCAAAGAAGTTAGAAGGAATGACATTGATCCCATAAAAAAATAACTATATCAAATAAATATAGACTATCAAAATAACTTGGCTGGAAAAAATCATCTTCAAAAACCGATTCAAAATGTTTGCACAATATATATCCTCTAATTACATTAAAACAACACTTTGTTTTTTACAAACCAGACAAAGCCCAAGCAAAATTCATATAATCTTCCTCACAAAGCATTAGGACATAAGGTAAAAATATAATTTTTCATACACAAAAGCTGAGGCATAAAATTCAAAGCCCAAATAATTATATTGCAGATAGTCTTGGTCACCCATGAATTAAAAGAAAAAAGAAAAGCATACCAAGTATTGGTGTATCGCAGTTGAGGGGGACCGTATCTGGCGATAAAAGGTCCTTTCCACCGCCGTCCTTATCGAACACCTCAGACTGGGAATCCAATTTCAGGCACTCCAAAGATGAGTCGTGGTCCATGGCTGTGTTGTGTAGAGCTTGGGGTTTGGCTTTACGGTTGTGACTTGTGAGAGAAAAAATGACGGGTGGTTTGGTTTGGCTTTAGGGTGAATTCATTTGTGAGAGAATAAAAGAAGGGCGATGAATTCTTTCTTGTTAATCAATATTATTGTTCTCCATTTAAGCCTTGATTGAATAATAAATTATCATTAAAAACTAATTGGTGACGTCTTTAATAAGCAGGGCATTAATTTCTTTTTAGTTTTGATTTTCGGATTTCGTTTCCTCAAGTAGCATTTCAGTTTTTTTTTTCTTTGGAGATTTTGAGTTCCAAATAAAGGAAGTTAATGCGGTTTTTCCATGTAGAGGAAAAGGATAGTAACCTAACCGTCATGCCTTCTCTCAGTAACCTTCCCTGCTTCTTGGTCTCTTGTTCATGTTCATATCAATTTTTTGTTGTTGCATTTAATATATATTTATTTTATACTAAATCTTACTGAATATTAGTCATAGCTATGAATTAACGTGATTTATATGATTTAATGTGTACTTTATTTTAGCTAAAAAATTTAGCTAGCCTACTTGTCGAAAAATTACCGATTCCACTCCATTGCAAATACAGCTTTTTCTAAATGATAAAATGAATGAGCTTTTATTAACCACAGAGAAAGTTTGAATCCGGGTTAGTGCTTAATTAAATCAAATGAACCTACAAGTAAAAAATATATAAATGAGTCCTGAAATTCATGGTCCAACTAAATAAGAAAAAAAGACAGATATTTTACATTATAGTCAGTTCATTTTAAAATCTTCCCATGAATTTACTGTTTGATTGAATTTTCCTTTAGTTTCCCAGCAGCCAAACGGCGGGCCGGAGAGATTGAGGTCCAACTACAGAGAAACAAACGTTTATGCCAAATGATTTCAACCAAAACAGAAGAAAAGCCGCAGTGCTGTTTCACACAAATCTCCCCTTGAAGCCCATGGACATGGTATTATGATACCAATGTTTATCTAGTGGACCTCAGGGTCAGGGATACAAATGAAGGCATCCATTTCTTTAAATTTAAAAATACAATACACTATACATCAACACAGACCTTAAGAATAAGGAGAATTAATTAAAGCATAATAAAGTCCAATTAGGCTATCACGACCATATCTTGTATGCACAATAAAGTCCAAGAAAATTCCAAATAATTTTCCTCACAAACTCTAAAAACAAAAATAAAGGCCATTAAGCACGTTTACTATGCTATATATCCTCATTCAAATACGCATTGCCAAACATGAAAAAAACAAAATCAACACAGTACTTGCAGTAATTAACCATTGGAATTTGGATCTGTCTACAAACAATCCAAATAAAATCCGTTACAACTTAATTTCATGACTTGGTAAGGGCATGTGACCAACTTCAATTACTTCCCAAAAATTATATTCTTCCTATAAAAGTATTTTCAAAACTCTCCATTCTCTACCCCTTTCAATGGAGCATACTCGAAAGAAAAAGCACCGGTATAAGGGTCGCCATTAAAAACAATGGAAGGATAATATTTCTTCTCACGGCTCGGGCAATCATAAGTCATGTGTTCACCTTCCTTCCGACATATTGAACAACGCTTGAGTTCTGCACGTCCTTGGCTTGGGCCACATTTGGCACAACATGAGCCTCTAAAGCGGCAGCCGCAAACCTTGCAAAAGATCACACAAGCACTGCTAACAATGGCGTTCATTGGGACATCAGATTTATAAGGGCAAGAGTCTGAAATGTGATCACCCACCTTTAAACAATACAAACATTCACCTGTGTGCAATTTGTAGATCCATTGTTAAATACAACAAAAGCAATAAGTATTGTGAGCACAGGACATAGAATAACAACAACTATACATAGATAAAATATATGTAAATAGAGAAGATAAGCTGCAGACGCATTTTTTTTTTCTTTTTTGTCTCTACAATCAAAAGCATACCAATAGGATTAGCAGGGAGGAGGGAGGGTGTCTAATTTTTTTTTTTTTTCTTTTTTGTCTCTACAATCAAAAGCATACCAATAGGATTAGCAGGGAGGAGGGAGGGTGTCTAATTTTTTTTTTTTTTCTTTTTGTCAGTAAAATCATTAAGACAACAAGGTCTATCATAGTGAAAAAGGACCCTATCTTGCTGACTACTTGATAGTGTTTGAGAGACCTAAATCTACTTGCAGTTTAGACGAACGCTTATATTTATAAAAAAAAATAAAAAAATCAAAAGCATACCAATAGAACTCTTATCCTTTGGTGCATCAGCCTTGATACCTGTTTGCAGCAATTACATTGTTAAATACCCACAAAAAAAAAAGGGGTGATGAGTCAAAGAAGTTAGAAGGAATGACATCTATGATCCCATCAACAAATAACTATATCATTAAATATCGGATATGCATCATGCATACACCAAAATAACTTGGCTAGAGAAATCCTATTTTCAACATGACATAGAATAACAACAAATTATGTCATAAAATAGAGAAGTTGCAAAAAATTTATTTTATTTTTTGTCTCTAAAATACGATTAGGAGGGAAGAGGGAGGAGGGTCTCTAGTATGTTTTTTTTCTTCCTTTTTGTCTCTAAAATCAATAGGCCAACGAAATCTAGTACAGAGAAAAAAGGACTTAACGTTCATACCAATAGTCAATGGTTTGAGCCTGTGTGTGAGAAACTCACCTCTAACTTGCAGTTTAGACTATCTCTTGAATTCAATAAAATAAAATAAATAAATAAATAAAATAAAAACAAAAGCATACCAAAAAAAGGATTCGGAGGAGGGGTCCAATGCAGTTTAAAATAAGTTGAAAGTTCTTCAAAGCATTGTTTTGCAACCTTTCGTTCTTCAGCCATGGTATCTGTTTGCATGCAATTGAATTGTTAAATATGAAAACAAAAAAGAATATAATGGGTGATGATGTCAAAGAAGGTAGAAGGATGACACTGATCCAATTAAAAAATAACTATATACATTAAACATCGACTAACCATCATGCTCACACCAAAATAACTTGGCTTGAAAAAATCATCTTCAAAAACCGATTCAAAATTTTTGCACAATATATATCCTCTAATTACACCTAGAGAAGTAAAAATTAAAATAACACTTTGTTTTCTCCGAACCACACAAAGCCAAATCCAATTTCATATAATCTTCCTCACAAAACAGAAAAACAAAAACCAATTTCATACTGTAAAAATATAATTTTTCATACAAAAGCTGGGGCATAAGATTCAAAGCCCAAATAATTATATTGCAGATAGTACTGGTCACCCTTGAATTAAAAGAAAAAGGAAAAGCATACCGATTACTGGCGTATCGCAGTTTAGGGGGACTGTATCTGGCGATAAAAGGTCCTTTACGCCGACGTCTTTATCAAGCACCTCCGACTGGGAATCCAATTTCAGGCACTCCAAGGATGAGACGTGGTCCATGGCTGGCTGTGTTGTGCAGAGCTTGGGGTTTGGCTATACGTTTGTGACTTGTTAGAGAAAAAAAGGACGGGTGGTTTGGTGGTTTTGTTTGGCTTTAGGGTAAATTCAATTTTGAGAGAATGAAAGAAGGGAGATGAATACTTACTTGTTATATAGGCGCGGGCGTGCACCACAAATCTTTATCAACCGCCCAAAGTAATCAATATTATTTTTCTCCATTTCAGCCTTGATTGAATAATAAATTATCATTAAAAACTAATCGGTGACGTCTTTAATAAGCAGGGCATTAATTTCTTTCTAGTTTTGATTTTCGGATTTCGTTTCCTCAAGTAGCGTTTCAGTTTTTCTTTCTTTGGTGATTTTGAGTCCCCAATAAAGGAAGTTAATGTGGGATTTCCATGAAGAGGAAAGGGATAGTAACCGTCCCTCCTTCCTGGTCTTCTCGTTCAGGATCAGGACCATGGTCTTTAACAGTATCATCACAAGATAACGTGATGCAAAATATGAATCTATCACATCATAACCCAAATTATCCATAATTCATTCCTACTCAGTTCAGGAGGGTCCCAAGCAAAAGAAGCCTGCACTCAGCTTTCATACCAGAATCACTATTAGCCTTAATCCAATCAGAAGCAGCAGAAAAAAAAAAAAAAATTATTGTTCTTGGATTGAAAGGCAAATCCTTCTCATCACTAAAAATCTGCCTATTTCTCCAATTCCAAAATGTACCAGCAAGTAAAGGCAAATAAAATATTCCAATCCAAACCTGCAGGCCCTTTAGCTTTTGAAAACAGATTACTTAGAAACCAAGGCTTAAACTCAGAAGCAAAGAAATGAGAAAAATTATCCAAGCTCAATGAAACCTTCAACACGTCCAAAGTCAAGCTTTACAAGCAGAATCATCCGTGAAACTCCTTTTAACTCGTTGCACATTAGGGTCCCATACGTATTTTTTTTCAAAGATCCAAACCGTATTATATTAATCAATATTATTTTTCTCCATTTCAGCCTTGATTGAATAATCAATTATCATTAAAAACTACTAGACCCCAATGCACGCACCTTTAATAAGCAGGGCATTAATTTCTGGTTTTGATTTTCCGATTTCGTTTGCGATTTTCATCTTAACTAGAACAAGAATCTTGTTTGGTGATTTTGAGTCCCAAATCAAGGAAGTTAATTAACGTATGGTTTTTTCTTTGTTTTACGTTTCCTCCTTCTCTTTTCAAGCTTGCGCTAATTGATATTTCATTGAGCCCCACTTCCGAAATTGTACCACTTTGTGACTCTTCTCTTGCATACTTCCAATCCGAATGAAAGGATGGCATTTATGCCAAAAACGACAGAAAAGATACTCCTTTTTCTTTTTTTTGTATGCAGTACTCCATCTAGGGCCACACATAGAAGTGCTCGAATTAGATATTGCAGGAGATTTTTTTCTTGATTGAATAATAAATTATCATTAAAAACTAATAGACCCCCAATGCAGTGAGAAAAACTTCCCTGTCACAGTGATTCCACCATCAGCATCCACATCAATATCCCAAACCAATCCAATTCTGACAGATGGCCATAGACTTAAAAATATTTTACGCCAATTTTCTTCCTCCTCTCGTTGGCATCGCTCTCTCTCTCTCTCTCCCCTCCATTCCCAGTTCTCTCTCCAATCACCCCTCCTCTCCATCATCATCAACCACACACCCCTGATTCGTCTCTCCAGTTCTCTCTCCAAATGGACTTGAGAAAGATTGGGTTGGCCTCGAATCTGTGGAAGAACTCGATACGGTTTGGAGGAGGAAAAATTTATCCGGCGTCGTTGTCTCTCCTCCAATCTCAGGAATCTCTTTCTTTTTTTTTTTCTTCAAATTTATTATCTATTGGGGAGTTTTGGAAAATTATACATGGTGGAGCTGAGAGAGACTGTGTTGTTTCGATTTTGTCGGGAAACATTGAAGGTGCAGTTTGGGGGAAAGCTTTTCGGCGTGGCTCTCTCCCCTTCATATCGGAGGAATCATCTCCTTATTCAGCCCTTTTTTTTTTTATGAACTGGGGGGCAAATCCCTAAGAACCAGCCATTTCATTATCACTAACTATTATCCTTTTTCATCACAGTTTAAATATATTAGAGATAAATGGGGGAAATTAATACATGATGTGTGGGTGATGGAGTGTCTGAAGAGGGAGAAGAATAAGAAGAACAAAGTTGCAAATTTTTACGAACTGAAAGAGGAAAAGAGGAGGAGAGAGAGAGGGATGCCGATGAGAGGAGGAAGGAAATAGGCATAAAATATTTTTAAGTTTGTTGCCAGCTGTCAGAATTGGATTGGTTTGGGATACTGATGTGGATGCTGATGGTGGAATCACTGTGACAGGGAAGTTTTTCTCCCAATGCAGGCATCGGTGACGTCTTGAATAAGCAGGGAATTTATTTCTAGTTTTGATTTTCTCATGATTTCGTTTTTGGAATTTCGTTTCCTGAACTAGAGCCTAGCCTTTTTACCAACAAAAGGGTAAGTTGTTTATTGATTTCTTGAGGTTCAAGCATGGAAAGTTCTAGTTTAGAGAGTAGGGATTGTTTTACTTCCTAAACGAACAACTCAACTCTTATAAAAGCATGGCTGCCGCTGTTGAACTTTTTCAAACTTTCAAAACAACTTACTTTTATTTTTCAAGAAGAAATTGGTGATTGTAGCCGAGTTTGTTTTTGCATTATGGCTGAGGTATACTTGGAGAAAACTAGCCAACAGTTGAAGGTTTGTCACATTACCACTATTCTTTTTTCTATCATACGTACTTTTTTTAGTTAAATCTATTATACGTACTAGTTACGCGTCTATATCTCTTGAACCCAAATTCTGTGTGCCCTCCTGTCCCCCTCCCTATGTTTTTGTCATCTGTTCATCTAGTTAACCAGCTAATAATTCTGTTAACTCATATAAGAAAATTAATCAAATATATTACTTCCTATCCCTTCGTCTTCCCAGGCCATCATCTAGTAAAATATATTGTTTCCTACCCTAATTAATAGCATAAGAATTCAATCTAAATTTAGCAACTAAATATTATGAACACAAAAAAAAACCAAATCTGTACTCTCCTTTGGTTTATTCATATGTTTTATGTTTCTTCTATCTATCGGTATATTCATCTGTACTATCCTTTGGTTATTGTTCTAGTTGATGTATCTGTTTGCTGTCTTTCTTAGCTTTAGTTATTGACAAACAAAAAAAACGCACAAATAGGATATATACTTGGTTGAGGCATATTCTCCTCCTTTTTTTCTTATCTTTTTTTACCCAATAAATTCCAAATTTTTATGCAAGTAGAGGGAACAAATATCGTTGCAATCCCTAAGGATGACTGCTGGGAATCAATATATGTTGGTGTCTGTTCGAGGGCTACATGTCCTAAAAGGGAAGGATTTATATTAAAAGACGACGCAACAAATTATTTCTATATGGGGAGTTGCAATGTATTTGCAACTATGACGGGAATTTCCATGGATTGTGAAAATATGTTAAATACTGTGAATGGCGTAATGGAACGTGCATGGGAGAAAGTAGTTAATAATGGCATCCATTGTGCACAACAAATAGCCCGGAACTATATTGGCTGGTGGGAAACATGCTCGACACCGTATTTATTTCAGTGGAGTACACAATATTTATTTCAAGGGTGTACTGTTATGGTTGGATGGGATGCAAGTGGTCTTCCTTATATATATGACATTAATCGGGATGGAGTGCAGTACAAAACCAAATCCGAAGTTTGCAATGGATTTGTGAATGGAAGGAATCGTGAAAGGGTTTATGAATATTTCAGAGATTGCAATGTAGAAGTCCAGAGTTCAGAAGAATTATTAGTAAGTGTGGAAAGGGCTTTATTGTATGCAAGCCTTTTTGATGGAAAGAGCGGTGGAGATCTACTCGTGTTTAATGTAAAAAAAACAGGCGTTACACCGGTATATCAACGATCGGTTCTGAAAGCGCTTTTTGAGCATTACGATGCCTTAGCTAGTTATCTTAGCAAGTCATTGTTCTTTCTCTTTCACACTAATCGTTACAAGTATACACATGAACATAATTTGTATGTGGACGAAAAATTCAGGGAAAAATTTCCTGAAGATTATGAGGGGAATGTTGTCATAAAGATAGGAAAACAATACACTGTACGACTGGTACATTTTAAGGAGCCAGTTGATGAACTATATGAGCAGCTGAGAAGAGAAAATCGTGACCGTAATGTGAGTCCTCAATTGGAAGCTCAAATGGAACAACTTGGTCTGGAACAATTTCAGAAGGATGGTGTTTTGTTTGGTATGCCAACACAGAAGTTGGTGGGAGGTTTAATAGAAGTGTTGAGCGTCTAATATTTTGTTTAGACTAGTCATTTGTTTCATTTTGTTTTCTTTTTCTTTAATCACTGGACGTGCACCTCATTTGGTTGAGATCCTTGATCGAGTCTTTCTTAAGTCTTGTAGTACGTAGTGTGTTCATGTAACATCATACTTATTTGAAATTGAGTTTATGCATATTTTGTTCTTAGTATAAAAGCTTATTTTAATTTTTCTTTTGGAATTGAGTTTAATATAACAGTGGACAGCCAGCCAGTAGCACTAAAGCAAAAGTAACACCATACAAGCGAGGAGACGATAATTTCCATTCACTAGCGAAGGCAATAAATCATTTATTTAAAACATGTTGGCTGCAACTTATAACTATTTATTATTTCACCAAAATCGAAAGCCTAGTTAGCTTACAAGGATAAAAGAGAAGATTATATTACAAATCATGCAGATGTTTTTATATATTCATCAACATAAGTTCATTACAAATAGACTATTTTGATAAACCATATAAACATAAGAAACCCACTGATCGAAAATGGTCAAGAAAAACAAAACAGAAGAACAGCCGCAGTGCTGCAGAGTTTCACACGAATCTCCCCTTGAATATTACGATACCAATGTTTATCTAGTGGACCTCAGGGTCAGGGATACAAATGAAGGCATCCATTTCTTTAAATTTAAAAATACAATACATTATATATCATCCAACCCAACAAGATCACGTCCTCCAGCTACGGCCTATCCTCTTCCATCAGCATCAGATGAAAAGGTTGAATTGAAACAATATATATTTTAAGCATATGAGCAAAAGACAAGGAGGAAAGCAGGGAGGAAAGGATTTTAGCCCTGCTCAGGTAAAATGCAGTTCTGGGCAATATAATTAATCTCACCAGTTTCTTTGGGGAGTATTATGACAATGATTTCCATGCTTTATCCAAAAAGGTCTCTCTTTTTGGCAATAACTCACAAGATATTTTTGGGGAGTATAATCTCACAAGTTTCTTTGGGGAGTATTATGACAATGATCTAAATGCAGTTCTGGGCAGTATAATCTCACAATATATTTTTCTCCAGAAAAGAAAAATTCAATGGCAATAACTCAAATGTGGTTCAAAATGTCCGTGAACTATCAATATTGTCGCGCCTTTGACTGGAAAGGTCTCTCTTTCTCTCTGCTCTTTGCTAAGACTATCGTGCAAAACTTCACATCAACTATTTATGCAGAAACTGACTGACTGCAGATTCAACAGGAAATAATTGTCCCTATGAACATGAAAAAGAAACAAGCTAACATCTTGACAGAAAGAGCAAGGGTATTAGAAGATGTCCATTACTCAACCATTTATAATACTTGGTGAACACAGGTTTTTAATAGCCATGCACATGAAATTATCACAATTAAACCACTTTTCTTGATAGAAAAAGATCATTCTACAAACAAGGTTCTATATTCCCTATAAACAGCAGCTTCAAAACAAGATTCTGTAATTACATTTCATATGAGGCACTAACCGTGCACAAGCTCAAAAAGTGTACTTCATGAGACAGAATCCTTCCCTTTGTTTTGCGCCAAGGATCCAAAATCTTTAGGTGGCCATATCTAATGACAAAAAATGATCAAAGATAAGAAATCTTAGTATTCTTTCTAGAAGTAGAAAATAGAAATACCAAAACGCAGTTCATTGTTCACATCCATCAGACTTCAGTTCTACCAGTAAAATACATGTTTTCAATTTTCCCTGGGAGAAAGATAACAGCAATCACTTATGTGTATCTCAACGCTTGCAAAATTTTTACCACAACTTCATTACTATTTGAACTTTTATTGAAGCTACACATCATACATTCTCTCCCAAATCATACCACTCATAAATTCAAAGGCATCCTTTTAACAATTCCACTTGGAAACCAACATAGATGTGTTCCTTTATGCTTAGCAAGTCAATCTAAAACCAATGTAAAACAATGTAACGCAAATAATTCAAATTGAGATGCAGGAAGAAAAGATTCTCACCCTCCAAAAGACTCTGCCTTGAAGAAGCCCATAAGGAACAGGCCCAAATTTTCTTGAATCATTTGACTCATAGATGTTGTCTCCCTCTATCCAAACATGCCCCTTAGGAACCTAGTAGCACCACCAACAACAACAACAATATAATCTCCAAAATCCCAAAAAACAAAAACACCAACATTCAAAACCAAAAACCCAAAACCCAAACAAAACCAACATTACAAGCTTGAATTGGAACATTGACATACCACAATAGTCTCAGACTTGTCACTGTTTTTAGGGTCGACAAAATATGTAACAGACTGGCCTTCCATGGCTTTCAAGCGCTTGGTCATGAACTTCCAAGGAACCTCAGGGGACTGTACGAGGACAATGTCCCCAACACCCAGTTTGTCGAACCGGGTCGAGATGCGTTCAGCCAAGCACAAATTTCCGGCCAGGCCGAGGGTCGGGAGCATGCTGGGACCGTAGGACTGCATACATGGAATCACAACCCATTTGATTTCTCTCTGCTCATTAAGCTCATTGAATTCAAATCCAAAAAAATAAAAAAAAAAATAAAAACCAAGAGAATTGTCTGAGAATGAGAGAGTGGTTCAGTGATTAGAACTTACCAGAGTGACGGTGAAAAGGTGAGTCTTGGTGACTTGGAGGCAGCAGAGAAACTTCACCAGTCGTGGAACGACGTCGCTTACTTCTCTCCCTGCGTTTTTAAATGCCTCCGAAGCCAAAAACTCCCTTATGTATCTGGACGCCATGGGAGAGAGTACAGAACAGAAGGTTGGAGAGAGACAGAGAGAGAGAGAGAGAGAGTCGTCTTGAATTTCAGTGCGTTTTTTAGCTTTTCGTTATGGGCTTTAGAATCAGCCCATGTTGAACTTTCTAATGGGCCATCATGTCATATGTTATGTGTTTGTAAATTGTGTGGATAAAATCTGGACGAAGTCAATACTTCAATCAAGGGAGTCAAGGGAATTTACCAACTACTCACTCTCCGTTGAGTTTGTGTTATAGTTCAACTAAAATACTGGACGAGATTAGCGTTGACATGGAAAACCGAATTGACCACGTAGATAGGAAATTGTCAGAAATTTATGGACCCACGTAGATAATATATATATAGGTTGGTTGGTAATTCCCACTGTGATATATCATCACCTTCACTTCACCTAGCTAGAGGACTGGAGCAACCATGTCTAACAATATTGTTACTTTTCTAGTTTTCTTCTTCTACCTTGCTTTCTTTGCCATTGTTTCTCCTGCTAGAAGAGTCCTTCTAGACTCAAAAAACATTGCAGCCTCCTCCATTGATGGTGGTAGCAACTTCACCTATGTATGTGATCCTTCATGGTACTCTAGCCTTGGCCTGGACTTGTCATCCTTTGCCTTCTGTGACTCTAAATTGCCGTATGACGTTAGAGCTAAGGACTTGGTGGACCGGATGACATTGATGGAGAAAGTGAAGCAGCTTGGTGATGGTGCATTCGGGGTGCCTAGGCTAGGATTGCCCAAGTATGAGTGGTGGTCTGAAGCACTCCATGGTGTGTCCAATGTTGGTCCGGGGGCTTATTTTGATGACGTCGTTCCGGGTGCAACGAGCTTTCCTCCGGTTATTCTTACGGCTGCGTCGTTTAATCAGTCCTTGTGGAAAACCATTGGCCAGGTATAGCTGCATATATGCTCATACTGCATTATCTTTGAAGAAGAAGAAAAATGGATTTGCCTACGTTTTTCTTCTGTGTTTAATTGGTTAGAGAAGATAATGTTTTTTGTCTTATTATTGGTTAAGATGGAGAAGAAGGTAACATTAATTATCAGCAAAGCTATGACAATTAACAAGCAAACAAAAAGAAACCGCACACATCCATTGTTGTTTGTCCATTTCAGGTTGTTTCAACAGAAGCAAGAGCTATGTACAATTTAGGAAGAGCTGGGTTAACATTTTGGAGTCCTAACATTAATGTAGTGAGGGATCCGAGGTGGGGAAGAATCACAGAGACACCTGGGGAAGATCCTTATGTTGTCGGCGTTTATGCTACTAATTACGTCAGAGGCTTGCAGGATGTTGAGGGCACAGAGAACGTCACAGATTTAAACCTTAGGCCTCTCAAAGTTTCCTCATGCTGCAAGCATTATGCCGCCTATGATGTTGACAACTGGCTTGGGGTTGATCGTCTCCATTTCGACGCAAGGGTGAGTTTTGATTAATTTCTTCAAGAGCTAATTTGATGATTTAATCTTCTTTAATGGTTTTTTGTTATTGTTCTTTCCGCCGAAAAGGTGACAGAGCAAGATATGGTGGAAACTTTCCTTAGACCCTTTGAGATGTGTGTTAAAGAGGGTGATGTTAGCAGTGTAATGTGCTCTTATAACAGAGTCAATGGCATACCCACCTGTGCTGATCCGAAGCTTTTGAGAGATACCATTAGAGGAGACTGGGGGCTTCATGGGTAACCTAATTAATTAACCCTAGCTAGATTGCTCTTCCTGTGCATGGATTTAACTGGTTGCTTTTGTTTTTGATGTCTTGCAGATATATAGTCTCGGATTGTGATTCTATCGACGTAATGGTGGATGACCACAAATTTCTTGATGACACTAAAGAGGATGCTGTTGCACAAGCATTTAAAGCAGGTTAGTCCCTGGCTTGTCAAGTTAAAATTCTTTAATTGTTTGAGTTTTTAGCTATAGATATAACTCAATTAATTAAATTCCATGTTAATTAATACAGGATTGGATTTGGACTGTGGAGCCTACTACCCCAATTTCACCCAAACTGCAGTGGAACAAGGAAAGGTGAATGTGGGAGACATAGATAGGGCACTCAACTACCTTTATGTTGTGCTTATGAGGTTAGGGTACTTTGATGGAAGCCCTACTTTTAAATCTCTTGGCAAGAAGGACGTATGCACCAAAGAACATATTGAATTGGCAACAGAAGCAGCTAGAGAAGGATTGGTCTTATTGAAGAATGTCAATGAAACTTTGCCTTTGAACTCGGATAAAATCAAAACACTAGCCGTTGTCGGGCCTCATGCCAATGCTACCGAAGTTATGATTGGAAATTATGCAGGTATTGACGATATAATTGTGCTACATGTAGCATTACTCTTTACATTATGTACGTACTACGTTTGAACAATAAAGTGTACTAAATAAACATTACACATTTCCAATTTATTTGTAGGTGTTCCTTGCCAATACACATCACCTATTGATGCTTTCAAATCCTACGGAGAAGTGATGTATGAAGTGGGATGTGATGTTGCATGTCAAAATGAGAGCTTGATATTCCCTGCCATGAAAGCCGCAAAGAAAGCTGATGCAACGATACTTGTGGTGGGATTGGACTTATCAGTTGAGGCAGAGGGCTTGGACAGAGTGGACCTCCTTCTTCCTGGTTACCAAACTCAACTTATCAACCAAGTTGCTCAAGTCTCAAAGGGTCCAGTCATCCTTGTGGTAATGTCTGCCGGTTGTGTCGATATCAGTTTTGCCAAACAAAATGATAAAATCAAAGCCATCTTGTGGGCTGGGTACCCTGGAGAGGAAGGTGGCTGCGCCATTGCAGATATTGTTTTCGGACATCACAATCCTGGTAAGTACGAAATATGGTAACAGAAACACAAATTTAGACCACATGACATGACTGTTAATATCTTAACAAACATTTGATAATTTCGTCACGTGGTCAGCTAATGTGGTCTAACATCCTACATATACGTTTACTATTTTACAGGAGGAAGATTACCTCTTACATGGTATGAAGCTAATTATGTGGACATGCTACCCATGACATCCATGCCATTGAGGCCGATAGATAGTCTAGGCTATCCCGGTCGTACCTACAAATTCTTCAATGGCTCCACAGTCTACCAATTTGGCTATGGCCTTAGCTACACACAGTTCAACTACACTCTAAAAGCTGCAGATAGATCAATGGATATTTTGTTAAATAACACGCAACATTGCCGTAACATTAAGTACGAGGATGAAGCATCCAAGCCACCTTGCCCTGCAGTCCTTGTAGATGACTTGTATTACGAACATGATTTTTCGGTTAAGGTTGAAGTGAAAAATGTGGGTAAAAGGGATGGGAGTGAGGTGGTGATTGTTTACTCAAAGCCCCCAGATGGTATTGTAGGCACACATGGTAAGCAGATGATTGGATTTGAGAGGGTGTTTGTGAAAGCTGGACAAAGCGAGGAGGTTTATTTTGTGTTTAGTGTTCCCAAGGCCTTGGGGATTGTTGATTTCACTGCTTATAAGCTTTTACCATCAGGCATGCACACCATCATGGTTGGAGATGATCATGGGCTCTCATTCCCTCTTCAAATCAACCTTGAGACCAAGTAAACTGAAGTGGTAGTTAATTTGTTGTTAATCTTTCTCTTCAATTCTCAATTTGTATACAGTAGGCCCAAATGATCAATTTAATAATAAAGAACTCTTTCTTCTCATTTTTGTTCTCATGATTATAACACATCAAAATCCAACTCAAACTGAGAATCACTTGTATTCAAATGTAAGGTCCAAGGAAACATGAACTCAAAATTAGGTAAGGGTTCTTTTCAAAAATTTCAAATTTTCAAAAGGAGATAAAGTAAAGAGATGGATGGGCAAAAGCAAACCGAAAAATGACCAGAAAACATGAGCACTGCCATCGTCCCCAACTTGACCAAATTGATTTCAGAGTGGGGCCAAAAGGCACAAAACATGAGCAAGCAAGAAAATGGGTTTTAGTTTAGTGGAAAAAAGTCTTCAATGGTGCGCCACTATAGCCACAGCCTATTGGGGCTTTCAATATACGAATGGGGGGAGGACGCAATAGCGCCATCCATCCATGTCCCTACAATTCCAGCATCTAAAAGATAATGAAAAGCATACATTAGGGTATTTTTACATTAAAATAGCCGAAGATAGTGACACAGATTTGGGCAAGTCATGCTCACAAAAAGCAGGCAGTGGCCATCTAACCCTTTAAAGAAAAGAGATATAACTGAAGCTAGCACCAAATACAAGTGTTCCACAAACATGACAGCCTATTGGCTCAAACGGGAGGAGATACAATAATGCACCATGATGCATGCTCATGTCTCTGGATTTCAAACGGATGAATGTGAGATGTGGAAGGAAGGGGGGAGGAAACAGTGACATTATAAGCAAGAACGGAAACATCAAATATGGCTAACATAAGGAAATTCATTTATTAACCCAACCCGAGGCTGGAGAAAAAAGGCGCATAGTTGTATAGCAGTCGATAGCTGCAACTTGCCATACAAAATTAACTGAAAACAAGAAACTGAGTAGTCATGCTACAAATCAAAGAGGAGATTAGAATACAACTTAAGGAGCCACACCAGAAAGCTCCATAATCAGATTCAGAGTGACACCACTGCCATTACATTTAGTGGTCCAATATGAGTACCAAATATCAAGGGATAACTATTGGCACCATAGCTCAAGATCAAGCTTAGTCATTCAAATTCTCAACTCCAAGGTTCTGCAGCTCAACCTTGAGAGACTTCAAGTATTGCACAGCTTCATCTAGAACATCGACAGTGTTCATTTCATTCCCTCCAGGTACAATCCCTCTCAGCACCCTCACCATCTTCTTCATTTTCTGTCGCTTCCTTTCACTGTTGCAGCTGCTGCTACCAATGCCAGAAGATTTTCCAAGTGAAGAGCACTGCCTATTCTTCTTGGTTTTCAAACCATAATTGGAGCAAGAATCAGAGGACGTGCTCCCATAATTTCCATGAGTTCGTGCTGTACTGACCTCTTCCTCATCATATTCTTCCAGCTCTTCCTCTTCCAAGCTCAACAATGCATCAATATCATCTGAGTCCTCCTTCAGAGAAGAGGATGTTTCTCTATCCTCATTATTTCCCTCGTTCAATCCCAGATTGTCTTGGATGTAAGCTGCACAGATGTTAAAGGCAGGACCAGTAATTTTGTGGGCAATTGCAGGATTGAACATTATCTGACTTCGATGATCGGTCTGGTCGAAGATAATGAAATTCTTCGGGCAAATGTCAGAGGTTTGAAATTCAACACCATGGAAAGGTTTGATGTGCTTTGCCTCACGAGGTAAAACTGCCCCACGTGCAGATGCAACTGGAATATGCATGTAATTATTACCCACTTGATTTGCAAAGGGGGGAGCTGCCTTGTTGGGGTCAAACTGTTGGTCACTCTGCATCAGAAATCCTAAGTAGTTAAAGCTGAATAGATGGAGTTTCACCTAAAGTCTAAGATTCTTTGACTTTTGACTGGATGAACGTTTGCAAAATACTACAAGGACTGTAATGAAAATCAAGTTATCGCCATTCTGGTACAGGAGAGCTGCCTATTCTCAATCAAAAGCAACCAGAATCAATACAACTGCCTTCTTATGTATGAATACAGCCGGAAGTCCAGTTTATCCCAAATCCCAGATTTCAGAGGGTATGTAAAACTATACTACGTAACAGGTTTAAGCAACTGACGGAAGTATTCAGCCTGTAAGAGCAAATAGAAGAATATCAACAAATTAGTTTTTAATATCTTCAAAGTGGTACAATCAAGCATGCTAAAGCACATTTTATTGAAATCAACTGAAGCTGAAAGAAGATGTTAATATCATAGCATGGCTGAATGGAAACAAGAAGATCAGATGTACCTGACAAACTTGCATCAGTTGGTAGTAGGCAATGACCCCAACACTCATTATAATCTTCCCAACTTCCTTAATAGCTCGATATCTCTTAAAGGTTACCCCAATGTTCATTCTCACTCCTGCAACCACCTTTTAAAATCCCCAAATAAAAGAACTTCTTCAAAAAGCAACGAGTTTCACCTGCAGCAGTAAACCCTCAAAACAAAATTGTTAGAATGGAGACTAAAACAGCAACGAGAAACAGAACTATATAACAAATGCTACATTGATAATTAAGCACTGAAACGTCATTTTGTCCCAAAAATTTAAACATTATTTGTCTAAAGGAAATTACTTCAGTTCATCTGTTTTTTTCTTTAAAAGTCTTGGCAGCAAGCACATAGAGGGAAAAGGAAATGCTGGTGTTAATTGGGCCATCAAGTTTCAATTTTTACACCAATTTCTTAAACTTAGGCAAAGCTAACTTGAGTGAAGCAAATGAAGAACAAAAAACAGCAATATAGGGAGAGTATAATCTCACCAAAATGAATTAAACTACAGTATGACGCGGAAGAACACCACCAATCGAACACAGTTCCTGCTGTAATTCACAAAAGAAGACGTCCACGGCATCTTGATTTTACTTCTTCAATACCAAGTCAATAGTAAATAGTCACAAAATTCCACTGCAAAGAAAAAAGGAAAAAATTTCCAAAGTTAGTCGAATCAATCTTATCCAACATTGATGTCTTTGAAAGAAGTCACTTTTAGCAGAATAAGCACTCACACAAAGAAACCCAGTTTGGCTAATGAGGAAAGTACGAAGAAAACAAATCAAAATAAACAATTAACATTATTTCATTTTGTGGGTCTAGCAAAGCAAAGCTCATCACTAAACTGAGCCTGATTAAATCAAAATTAAAATTATCCCATAGCTCACAACTCAGAAAACCCCGAATCAACAAAATTAATAATGACCACAACAGTAGTTCCAATTCAAAACCCTAATTCATGTGACCAAACCAAACAAAATCTTTCATTTTATATATAAGCATCCAAGAAAGCAACAAAAAAACACCTCAGAACAACAAACAAACTTCAAGCCCCCCTGACCTAGACCCACCAAAAAAACCCAAAACGAAAAGATGACAAATTTCAGAGTAAAACCTAGGTTGAAGGAGAAGATGGCAGAACAAATCCAGGTTAACGATTACAGAGGATCAGATTTCAGATTTCGTATTTCAGTACGTTTTTCTGAGATAAAAATTCCCTAGATTTGCGCTGCTAAACAAGATCTACCACTACTGCTTGCTTCTAGTGAGAGAGAGAGATGAGAGAGACAGAGATGGGGAGGGCGTGTTTGGGAGTGGTGGTATTTAATTTTGGAGTTTCGTTGGGATGCGTGCAGGGACTTAGACATAGAGGAGTCAAACACGGAGCGTGGGAGCCGTCGGATTGGGGGCCTTGGAAATGCTTTCCGTCTATTGCGGATGCAATGATGACCGTCGGATGGAGCACGCGTGCAAGGGGGACATTGTGGGGCCCTTTCACGGGGTTTGACGAATGCGTATCGTGGAAATGACTCCTCCTCTCCTCATACTCCTCGTGTGAAAGCCTCGCCATTCACACTCACCTTTATTTATTACCCTTCTAATCTCCTTCCGTTCAATTATGCTTTCCATAATTTTGCTTTTACTGAGCTTTTATCCTCTGCAACCGCACCCACCTACTTCACCATCGATCTCCCTTTTTTCTTTTTGTTTTTTACAGATGGTTATTTATATGAATTTTTAATATGTAAAATACGACACCCCCCAAAGGTGCATGACAAACGAGATAAAGAAGATGGTGATGGATGTGTCAAATTGTGAATTGGTGGCAAAAGATTATTGGCTGCCAAGTGCCAAGAAATTCTAACCACATACCCACTCCTTTCATGAATTGACAAAAGTTGCAAGGCCTATATATAATATATACTTTGTATCTCACTTTACCCACACAGAAACAATGGTCGGATGAGTTGTATATTACCAGAACATAAATTCAAGTGGACTTGATACAACTCAAGAGAAATTATCAACATATTAAACTTTAAAAAAAATATATATCTTCTCTCATGTAGAGAATAAAACGAGTTAATCGACCGTCACGTACTTAATATTTTGGTTAGTAGAAGCGTGGTTGTGATTTAATTGCATAAACTAATTATTGTAGTTTAGTGGGTTAAGTGGAACTCTGTAAGGGCTGAAGTAATTAATAAGTAGTACTCTGAACCTAGTTTGATGTGTAAATTTAGCATACAGAGCTTAACAAATTCAATGAAATGTGGGCAGATGTCCATAATTGGCCTTGAGTAGGTCCGCCAATGTTGAATTGATCGATGCACCACATTGTCGAACTCTCTTAAAATTGTGGCAAACTTGTCATAAGTGTGATCACAAATTTCATAGTAATATATAACCAATTCATTTGCTAAGCTTGACTTGTTAGCCTTTTTAACATCCCATTCAAAACATTAATATTTAATTTGTTTTGGAATCCACGTATGAGTATATATGATGCTTCCATTTGTTTATGCACTTAGATTCTTTGTTAGTTGTTTACCTTTAAATTTTGTTTTTATATTTATATCTTGTTTTGAATACTCATTATTAGGTCAAGTCAAACCGAATCTTACATAAGCTTGTCTCATACAAAGCCAACTCGACACAAAGGCAAGCTACAGTCCACAGTCTCAATGGGGTAAATTTATTAGATTATATAACACAAGAAAATGGACCTTCTTCATCATCCATCGGATGGAAATTACATTACAATAAACTTATTATTCTGATGCATCATCAAATTATAGTTTCCATTTTCCCATTGGGCAGACTCAGACATGGATACAATCACCAAAACCTGCAACATATACAAGAATAAGCACACTTTGTTTGCTAAATTCATGTTAAGAAAACATAAGATTTTGTAGTGCATTATATCAAACAAATTGGCTTACTTGGATTAGTGACGACGATAAGGCCAACGCCATTGAAATCACAATTGTAGCGTCCATCGGTCTTATAGTAAAGATTCATGGCAAATGAGGCATGGTTTATGAGGGTATTTGGAAAGTAGCATGAACCATGTTCTTGTATTTCACTGCATTCTTTTAATATTCCACAAGTGAAGTTTATGATGTTCTATAATGCAGAGTCTGGGTTCCTGGCTTAGGCACACACCAAGTATCCTGCAAACCCAACACAACATAATAATAATTAATTAAGTTTAATTAAGTATTTGAAATGATTTTGATATAATTAAGATTATTTGAAATCTTGGTTTAACTTATACTGATCCTCCTACAAATTTCAAAAGGGAAAGTGAAAGTAAAGTTATACAATTATTTTTGCATATGAAAATGTGCAAAACTCATTATAGTTATAGACACATACCACTCACAAATTGGCAGCAGGGATTGTAACCTGCAAAAATGGTATAGAACCAAAATGTTTAATTTGCTGAAAAAGAAAGTCTGAACTTTTGAAACAAATTATTATTATGAAATTGAAGGCCTACTTGGATCTGCCAAGGAAATGAGACTGGTATTGTTAAAATGACAGTTCCATTGGTTTCTTCCCATCTTCTGGTAGTAAGCATTCATGGCAAATGAGGCATGGTGCGCTGGCCTATCCGGGTCATAGCAAGAACCTCCTTTCTTTGTAGGGCTGCAATCTGCATAGTTACAGGCATAGTCCAGAGCTGACTGCAGTGCTTGTTGTGGTGCTGCAGGCTTTGCCACACACCAAGCTTTCTACAACACCATGTATATATGTAAATTAATTGCTAATTAATTTAAGAATTGTTCTTTCTAATTCTTACCTGTCCATTCACCAACATCGAAATCTCCCCTGCAAAAAGAAGAAAAAGAAAAAAAGAAAAGAAAAAAAAAAGCAGCCATGGATGAACATAGGTGAAAATAATAAGTTTCTTGCCCATCAAGAAACACTTAGAGATATCCTTCATGCGATAGAATTAATGTATTCCAATCCTTATAGAACTAGGAAACCTTAAGCCTTTGTAAACAACCTTAAACACTGATTGCAGGCGCCTAATCAAGATAGGATATGAGTCCTTGATAAATAATAAGTCCTTGCAATCCTTCATTGATTAGAAGATCACTTTAGTAGGTTTAAGGCAATAAACCTTCTTACATATAATGCCCAGAGTTCAAACATTTGCAAAGAAGAAAGTACGCAATAGGAAGATTTCCTTCCCTATCATCGGTGGTATACAAACAGTGATAGGGAAGAATTACTCCTTGAGTAATTTAGCAATGAGTTGAAGCGAAACGATGGAAACTACGTAACTTGCATACTCTTGAAGTACAGAGTACAGACATTCATATACATGCTCATATGCGCGTATAGGCAGGGAAAGCAGTTCACCTGCGGACAAACTCCAATCATTTCTCTAATGTTTTCCATGCCAACAGAGCTTCGGGAAGAATATCCATAAATCAATGCTGTATCAAGACAGTTTACAATTTATCTTACCCAACATAATTTTTTATTCACAAACTCAAAAAAAATGATACTATTATTACCATCTCCGGCAGTCACCGGTGCATTCTGACTTGCGTGCAGCCGACCGGCTATACTATTTTGGAAAAAAAAAACCAAGTATAGCCGCGCGGCTATACTATTTATAAATTAAAAAAGGTACCCACCGAGCTCCTGAACGGCCACGTGTGAAGACAAGTATAGCCGCGGATGTACTTATTTTTTTTTAAATGCCCGCGTCTATACTCTTTATAAATTAAATAAGGGACCCGCCTGGCGCGTAAGTGCTATGTGTGAAACAAGTATAGCCGCGGCTATACTTGTTTAGGGATTGGCGGACCTTTTTTAATTTATAAAGAGTATGGCCGCGCGGCTATACTTGTTTAGGGTGCACTTGAGCGCCCACGTGTGAAAACAAGGGTAAACTGCCGAAATGCCCCTTGAACTTGTACCTAATTATCAATTTACCCCCTGAACTTTTTTTTTAGCGAATTAAAGGCTCGAATTAAATTTTATTATCAATGTTCCCCCTGCCGTCTAAATCATCAACATTTCATCCAATAATCCATCAAATCATTAAAAAAATAAAGAAATATATATATTTTTTGAAAAAATTAAAGAAAAAAAAGAAAAAAAAAATCTTATGGACCCACCCACCCCACCCCACCCCCTGCGTCTTCTTCTCCAACCTATCCCCCCTTACTCTCTCTCTCTCTCTCTCTCTCTTTTTGCAGGCTCGAGTGGGGATGGAGGTGGTTGTTTGGTGGCGTTGGGTGGTGGTCTAGGGATGGATCTCGCGTGTCTCTCTCTCTTTTTGCAGGCTCGAGTGGGGATGGAGGTTGTTGTATGGTGGCGTTGGGTGGTGGTCTAGGGATGGATCTCGCGTGTCTCTCTCTCTTTTTGCAGGCTCGAGTGGGGATGGAGGTTGTTGTATGGTGGCGTTGGGTGGTGGTCTAGGGATGGATCTCGCGTGTCTCTCTCTCTTTTTGCAGGCTCGAGTGGGGATGGAGGTTGTTGTATGGTGGCGTTGGGTGGTGGTCTAGGGATGGATCTCGCGTGTCTCTCTCTCTTTTTGCAGGCTCGAGTGGGGATGGAGGTTGTTGTATGGTGGCGTTGGGTGGTGGTCTAGGGATGGATCTCGCGTGTCTCTCTCTCTTTTTGCAGGCTCGAGTGGGGATGGAGGTTGTTGTATGGTGGCGTTGGGTGGTGGTCTAGGGATGGATCTCGCGTGTCTCTCTCTCTTTTTGCAGGCTCGAGTGGGGATGGAGGTTGTTGTATGGTGGCGTTGGGTGGTGGTCTAGGGATGGATCTCGCGTGGGGATGGGGCTGGGGGATGGGTCTCGGTTGGGGAGGCAAGGCTGGGGAATGGGATGGGTCTGGATCTTGGGGGCAAGGGATGGGGATGGGAGAGAGAGTGTTTCAATTTTCTGTGAGGAGAAAAGAAATAAAAGGCATGGTGGCCTAATGTCCAGTGGCTACATGTCCAACCGCATGGCAAAAGGTTTGGTCAGCTCCAGATCAATTTCAAGAGCCACCATTCTCTACTCTTACTTGTTGGTCAAATCAATTTCAAGAGCCACCATTGTCTACTCTTACTATTACTAGCACAAGCTTTCAAAAACATACATATCAGGTGAGGTTAAATGGGGTTAAATGCTGGGCCAAGAGCTGGGGGTTTTAGGGTTGATGGGTTGATGTGCTGGAGGAGATAGAGCTGGGGGAGGGGGCGATAGGGTTGCTGGTTCTTTTTTCTTTTCTTTTTTTTTCCCTTTTTGGGTCAATTTTCTTCTTTTTCTTTAATCTTCTTCTAAAAAAATAATTTTTAAAAATGATTTAATTGAAAATTGGATGAATCGTAGGGAGAGAGGGAAGAAAGCGTTTGGTTGCAGAGAGAGAGGGGGAAGAAAGGGTTTGGTTTGCAGAGAGAGAGAGGGAAGAAAGAGTTTGGTTGCAGAGAGAGAGAAAAAAGGGTGGGAGTTTATTAAAATGATTTTTTTTTTCATTTTATATGTCATACTATTGTATTTTATAGTATTTAATTATTTTTAACATATGAAATGACCAATTTGCCCTCATATTTAACGGCAAATTGGATGAAATGTTGATGATTTAGACGGCA